TGAAGCAATTTTTTTCAGTCTAATGAACAGTCACATTATTAAGTGTTATATTTTCTTCATATTCAAGGTTAATATGCATATGTTGACAAAATGTAGTTATGCTCATTTAACAACTGTTTACTTTTGAGTACCTATCCATAAAAATTCATTCCAACATGATGATAGTGTGTCTTAGCTCTATTTATGAAGTTTTGTGAAAACTAACTTACACTTAAATTCTTATGCATATTTTGGTTAGGCTTAAATTGCTCTGTAAATACCATAAAGGATGGAATACAAAAGTTTAGTATTAAATGAGCCTAATGAATAGTAATGTTTATTTTTGTAAGTCTATGTGAAAGCCAAGTAGAATATATACATTTTAATTGCAGCATGATTTAGGATGTATGCATGTAGAAAAACTCCACATATGCAATTTGAAATGAATTCCATATATTTTTCATTTATATACAGATAATTGCCTAAAGGTTTATATAGTCTTAGTTTTTTTCTCATGAAAAAAAGACTTAGTTTGGCTAATAATACTCAGTTATACTTGCTCATTTATGAAATGACATTCTTTCCAAAATGGACTTTTTTGACATTAAGTTAAAAATATTTGTCAAATAAGATTGTGTTAAAAGTAGAATTTGCTTTCTAAAGTGTTCTATGTTTCTTTTACTGTGAAATGAATTAATTTTTATATTAAAGTAAAATCTGAATGCTGGTGTTTGAAGCTTCACAAGTTTTGTTTACATATGACAAATGTATACTATTATCCAGTTGTCTTGTCAATCTGTAATTTCTTGCTCCTTTCTTACAATTTTTTCAAGTTAAATGTAATACTCATTTTTTGAATCAGTCACCTTCAAGTAAATTCTGAACACTTCTTTTTCCAAACTGAATTCTAATGTCTTTTGAAGAAGCATTTTTAATTCAGAAACATCCCCATTTTGAATGTGTATCCTGTCCCGTTATGTAGCTAACTACTGGTTTGAATGTAGAATTACTTTAAATTGAATTCCTGAAAATGAATTTTGCTATAATTTGCATGTGACATGAACGAAACTTCAGTTTTCCTAACAATCCATTATTGATACGCTTTATGTCAATGAGTGAAATTATTCAAAATTTATATTAAATCTCGATAATTTTCATTTAACTTTTTTTTTTAATTTCGTTAACAAAAAAGAGGCTTATTTGCTTCCCCTCCCCTAACTGTTAAAAGTTTCTAACATTCATGTAACAATAATACTATCAATCCTTCATTAAAATGTCTGAACAAAATGAACTTCATGTTTTTAAGAGTTGATACCTTACCTTTCTCAAGATATCCTTTAAATAACTGGATTTAAGCTGAAATGGTAACGGTTTTGTTTCTAGCTTTTTAAAATTTATTCAACTGAAGAAGAAAATAATAGCATATTAATCTTTTTGTTTTTCGAAATTTTCTCATGTTTCGTAAAATTTTCATTATGAAATCATTTTTTTTTTTTTTTAAATTTCTGCAACGATACCATCGTTTTGTTATTACAATGTTTTGCAAACATTCTAACGCTTCCTGGCCGTTAGTTTCTGTTTTGAAACTTGTTGCCACTCACCAAAAGACATATAGTTCGAATGTTCCGAGGCTGAATTCTAGCGACATGTATCTTCCTCGATTTTTTTGATTGGCTGATGGAGTTTTCCTCTCGCGCGGGAAATGTAACTTCAACTTTGACTGTTAAGTTTCAGTTTCGTTGAATCCTCTGACGGTTTTTCGGAAGCCATTTCAGGACAAACGGAATTTTATTATTTTTTTTATACAGATCGTAATAACTACGATATATGTTTTCACGTTAAATTGCCCCCCTTTTTCGGAGAATGCTGCAAATCGGTAATTTCTGTGTAAATATTCCGAGTATAAATTTCATATGCTCTTAATGTTTGTTCTTTAAAAATGGATCGAATGTTCTTTGTTTTTATCTGAAATTGAATTGTGTGAACAGAAATAGTAGTTTGTATGTTTCGTTTGTAACTTTATCCGATAACGGAATTTTTTTTTTTTTTGGTTTTTTGCAAATGTTTTGTTATATTGAATTGAGTGTTTAAAAAGGAACCATTGAACGCAAACTTTGAATTCAGTGGTGTAATTTTTGCTTCCTATAAACAAAAAATTCCCTATAATTAAATTCTGAGGAAAAGTCACTAAATTTTGAATGATGTTTCTATTTTTCCAATTGAATTGAAACTTTAAAACTTGTTTCTTTCACATTGTCCCTCGGGGAACTTTTGTTTTTTAGTGTATTCACTTGCAGTAATCAACAGTCAATCAGTAATTGTTAGGATAGAAACATGAAGTCTTTTACAATACTTGTACTGTAGTTGTAAATTGAAATGTATTCAGAAAATGCAATAGATTTCGAATGATGTATTTTTAGTGTCGTTTCTCTTGTTCAATTGACTGAAAACTTTGATTTCATAAAGAATATAATATTTAATCAGTTAGGAATGCATGTTGAAAAGATTTGCATTTGGAGAGAATGTGTTGTGTTTCCGTTTAATAAGAATTTCCAGTTATCTACAGATACCTGTGTTCTTGTGTGTTCCATTACCAACAAATGAACCTAGGTGGCATGTCCTTAAAAAAAAAACATGTCATTTTTGGGTTTTAATGTTGGATTTCTCCTGGCCACTGTTCTGAAGGATGGTTCAAGAAGTGAGGTGTGAGTATATAACTTCATGTCAATACACATACTCTTTGAAATTCATTACTTCTAATGCCCTACTTTGGAATGCTTGAACAATTCAACATTATAACACTACAGAACTTGAAATTTTAACTGTTATTCTATCAAAATCAATAACAACATTTGAGAAAGGGATGATGCAGAGTTTCATGCACTTGCTGCGTACGAAACAAACTTTTCAATCTTGTTTAAGATTCATACACTTAAAAGGCAGTTGCATAAAAAAGTGTTATTTGCACCTCAATTTAGAGAAACAAACCAGAGTTTCCTTCTATAAAAGCTATTCTCTCATTTTCTTTTATTGAATGCATAAAATGTAATTAATATGAACTGTTATTAAGCTTATAACTATTTTTCACTTTCAAATGTTAAAAAGAATCTTGAATCATGTTATTCTATTCAGTAAATTCAACAGGAAAAATTGAGTTTTTAACTACTGTTGAATGTGAATAAAGTATTATCAACAATGAAATACTCATATTCTTTCAAATAAAGACATCTCATCTTGAAATTCGATAGTTAATATTCCCCATTGTCGAATGCTGCGACAATCACAGATACGTAGCAGTTATGCTATAAAAGTTATTTTCTGTAAATAAATCTCTCAAAGCGGGAAATTAGTAGTTTTGTTTTTTCAGTGCTTTGACAAACGCATGATGTATACATATATTTCTTATAACTGCAAAATTTTTTCGTGCTGAATTGGTTGTGGCTTGTGTAAAAAAAGACGGTACATCTTTTAAATTATCTCATCAAGCGCTTCCATCCCGTTTATTTTCATTTGAAACGAGTTGCCACTTGCAAAAAGACATATATTTCGAATCAACTGTGTCTGATTCTAGCGACAACGTATGCTCTTCCAATTTTTGATTGGTTGTTGAAGTTTAGTTTTCTTCGCGCGGGAACGGAACTTTAACTGTGACTGTGAATTTTAAGTTTCAGTTACAATCTTTTTTCGTTCGAACGGGAGCCATGTTGAATTAGTGACTGAAGTTTTTTATATATAATTTTATGAAGTTCTTTTCAGGTTCAATTATCTGCTGAATAAAACGATTTATGAGCGGGTGAGTACTCTGTTATTATATGCTCTTAGTTGTACAATTAATTGTTTTTAAAAGAATGATTAGATTGAAAATATCTTTTGATGCATTCAGTAGATGCTCCAGTTATGCCTACATTGGATCTGTTTTACCAAGAATTAACCAGTAAATTCAAATTAGCGAATAATAAGTATTCCAACACTTGAAGCAATCTTTAATTAACTATTTTAATTTCTCATCATACAGCTCTCAAAATTAAATGTTTAATATAAAACGGTTTACCCTTAAGGTTTATGAGGTAAGCTTTTTTTTTTTTCTGATTTCATATCAAAAGTAATTATTTTTAAGATGAAATGGATATTGACCGAAACTGGAACATTAATTAATCAAGTTTTCTTC